AGGAAAACTTGTATTTTGTCATTACACTAGACAATGCTACTTATATGGAATATAAGTAATATGTCGAGATTATACTTGCATCAATTGGGTTCGAGTCTCTGTGGCAGTGTTGCCGAGACCGGTTGAGGCGAAACCGAAACTTCAGTCCAGCCAGAAGGAGGCTACCTTTTTGGGAAGCGAGATTAAGTGAAATGAACCTAATTCTGGGGCAACTCAACTGTCCGCTCTTCTTCTTCAAGTCTCGAAGCCGACTTTTTATGAACATTCAGCAAAACATGCCCGTCTTCGCGCTCGTGCATCTCATCCTGGCCAGGCTCATGCAAGTGTCGGAAAAGATACCTGCCCTGGCAACTGGGTTGGTCGGTTTTTTCCACTTTCTGCCTCCATAGCCTAGACAACCGTACTGACGTCTCACAGTAAAGTCTGCTTCGTCGTGATTGGCAGAATCTCCCATTGTCATCACTACTGCTCTTGTGCATCCTTGAAGATGATCCAGCTCTGTATGTGCATATTGCTCTCGAGTGGGGGATTCCGCCATTGTGACTAGCCCCTAACAAGGCACCTACTTCACGACCTGTAGAATGACATTCCGGTCTGAAAGACTTTCCTCTATTCAGTTTAATCATCTCTCAGAAGACTACCAGCCTGCCCAGCACACAAATGAAATACAATCACACACATGCACACACAGAAATACAAACACGCAACTTGAATATATTCAGGCATGCCATGAAAAAAACTCGCACAACTTGATAAAGTTAGTTAAAGCATACTAAATAAACCTGTATGCACCAGGACAGACGCACACACAGACAGTAGCTTGTAATTTTGCGTGAATTTAATACAGACTACTACTACTACTACTACTACTGACACTAATTTCAGATTTGCACGCATATGCGCATACATAAGCAATTTTTTGAAGAGAAGTAATTGAAAATTTGGCCTTTATAATGCTTGCAAAAATTAATGATGATGATGATTAATGATGCGCAAGATCAGCTTTGTCATTTTATTTAAGATATGAAGACCGAGATGTTGTGACTTCTGGTATGATCACAGTCTGCTTGCTTTGTCATTTTATGCTTAGATTATTTGTTGAGTTTGTTTAACTTTGCAAATGCTTAGAACGTTATTTAATTTTGCTGAGCCTGGCACGCAAAATGTCCTTCTTCAAAGAATGTTTGTCATCTCCACCACGTGACGGTTCGACTCAAAACTACGCCCATGGCTTCCCAACGCGGGAAGCTGCTAAAAGATGTCATGTGAACCGGACAAACCAATTAGTCATGAGGATGCAACTCAAAACGGGCCATCAGTCGAGTTTTTTTAGTGTGTTTGTAGGCCCAATTTGGCTAGAAAAGGGAATGGACAAGAAGCAACAATTGTTAGGCCCATTTCCATCCCGAGCTTGTGTGTGTGTGTGTGTGTGTGTCT